ATTCAGATCCGACTCTGACCCCCCGGCCGCCAGAGATGAATGCGTCTCCTCGCCTGGTCTTTATTCCAGACCCTTTACTCGCAGGGGTAGCTCCCATTAAATCCAGGAAACTGCTCCCTGGAATAAAGTGGCAGGAGCAAGGGGTCGCAGGGCCAGGCCCCGGGGTTTATAAAGAAATCATTCACTCCCGCTTTCCAGTTGTCGCGGAGCGAGCCTGAAAATATTTGTTTATATATGGAAATATTTGGGGGGGGTTGGGGGGTAAAAAAAAAAAAAAAGCGAAATAAGGGGAGCCGGCTGCGGGGCGGGAGTGCTGTCCAGATGTGCTGCTTTCAAGGGCTGAGCCAGTTTCAAACCCTGCTCCACAGCAAGGAAAACCTTTCCGAAGGTCCTTTAACCAGCCCTAGCCCGGGATACTATTATTTTTTTTTTTTTTTTTAAAGTTAGTAATTGAAAACAAGGTTAAAACCAGTCAGCGGGTGCGGGCTGAAGGCTGTCTGCTAACGGTGAGCGAGTGATTTACTGGATTTTAATGCAACGACGATTATCTTTTAAAAAAACGGAGCGGAGGATTTGGAGGCTCGCCCTCTCGTAAGAACCGAGTTTAAAGCCAACACAAGTCGCCGCTTGGAAAACTCGAGCGAGGTGATGTTCCCGGGCTGCGCGGGGTCAGTTATTGTGACTGCGGAAAAAAAAAATACGCCTGCAATTTATTTTTTATGGTCTGCACAAACGGTATTGTTGCGTATTATTAACTAATTCATAATTATACCCCTATTATGCCGTCGATTCTCTCCCTCCCCCCTCCTTCCCCCGGTTTTCTCAGGCTTTGAGAATTGAACCACCGCAAAATATTTACAGTCTCAAGTGTTTTTAAATGGGCTTTGTTTGTGTTTTACAGAATAAAAATCTCTATTAGTGTTTAAACAAACACCATGCCAGTCTCTTAAGCCTTCCAGATGTTTGCAATAAAATGTCAGGTTTTGCCTTTGGGACTCGAAATAAAATTTAACTACCTTCACCCTGTAATTATTCTCTTAGCTCTCCCTTCATAAATTTATCTGCTTTCTATCAGGAGAGAGAAAAAAAAAAAATCCGATTATACACTTGGACTATAAAAACCAGCCACTACTTTCCCTCCATTTTACCAGGGCTTCTCCCCGACTTGTTTCGGCACCGCAAACCAACGCGCACACATTATTTCTGACTCTCCTGTTTTCGGAGGAGACCAGGCAAAGCAGAAACATTATCAGGAGGCTTCCTGAGGTTAAGGCAACAAAATGCCCAGTGTCCCTGGGCCTGTCCATCCCCCCCACACCCTCCAGTCTCCCCCAGCTCCATCCCGGCCCCGCTGTTCCCGGAGGGAAGGCGAATCGGGAACTTAAATTGTCCCTGAACTTCCTCCAGCTCCGGGTGTGGATTCTTCGCAGGGATTAATCAGACCTGACTGCATTTCGGAGCCCTCCCCGTGGAGCTGTTTGGAAATAGGCAATTACGATGAATAATTCAAACAAAGCAGGTTTCCCCTCGCAAACAAAGACGCAAGTTCCGGCTTAGAGACCCTTCAGCTACTAACTTGGACCAACACAAGGCAGGGTTAAAAAAAAAAGCCATGCATTTTTGTATTTACCGCGCCAAACTTCAGAACAACTCGGAGAGATAAGCGAGGGTCTAGATGGTCTTTCTCTCTCTCTCTTCATTTGCCGCCTATAAACCCATTTCTGGCTGAAGTCAGGGTCGTCGACTTTTTGTCCCTGCGTGCGTAACACCCGCAGGCGCGCTCCTTCTGCCTCCCTCTGCACAGCCTGGGGGCGCCTCGGCCAGGGACACCCCACTTCACACCCACGGGCACCCCGGGACCCACTCCCCATGGTTACTGCCGCCTTTTTTTTTTATAGTATATTTATTTTCCCCCTTCCTTCTCGAGGAGAAACCTTCTTCTGCAGCTTTTCTGCCTGCCCTGTGCCGAGGTCTCTGCTGACAGGTGAATCCGAGAGGCTGATGCTCTCGGGTGGCGAGAGGCAGCAGCTTCACGGAGGGCAAGAGGCCGGTAAACCCGCTGGAGAGCAGAGGTCTCCCCAAAAACGCTGCGTTACCCTCGGCACCTCCGAGCAAGAAAGGGATGGGGAGGCCAATAGGTGTCCGATGGGCCATACTGGCCCCTCCGCCGCTTGCCCGCCCCTCCGTGTTACCATCTCTGCCCCCCAACTCCTCCGAGAAGAGGTGGCAAAGCAAGACGAGGTCGCTCACCGGGGAAGGCTGATGCCGAGGGGAAAGAGGGAAGAGGGGGGGGTCGAGGTTCCGCCGTCCCTCTGCCCACTCCCCCGGCCCCATCTGCAGTGAGTCGCTGAGGTTTTTTTCCTTGGGCCTCCTCTTTCCTGCCCCCGTTTGCAGGTGGACTCGGGGGTGGTGTTGGCCGGCGGGAAGGGACCGAAAGAGACGTCGAAGCACTTTTTGGGGTCTGGGTTGTTTGGTTTGGGGTTTTCCTCCCCCTTCACCCCCTCCAAGAAATAACCCACCTTTGCGGGACTTCGGATGAGGGTTAGGGGACCTCGGAAAGAGCGGGGAAAAGCCGGCAGGAGGGCTGTATGCGGATAAATTCTAGGAGCTGAGCCTGGAGGATCCTTGGGCTCAGCACCGCAGGGCCGAGGATGCCCCCCTCCTGCCCCACGCCTCGCAGCGGCGTGACCGGAGGGATGCGGGGAGCAGCGGGGAAAAAGCCGGGCCGGGACCAGGCGTGGGGGGCACCCCACGCATAAATTCCAGCGGGGAGTTTTTAGTCTTTCAGGTGACCGCTCCCAGCCGGGCTTCAGCAAAAAAAAATCAATTCCCCGCCAGCAGCAAGCAGATTATTGCCGCTATTATATTTTTGAGTAGATTTAGGGTTTGGAAGGTTTGGTGTTTGGATTATTTGGTTTGATTATTTTATTTTTTTTTTTCACAGCCCCAGTGCAACCCCTCGGCTCCCAAACCCGCAGGATGGAGTCTAATGGTTGGGGAACTCCGGGTCTTCACCCGCACATGGGGCTCACCCCTACCTTCCAGCTGCCCAGCTTGAGGTTGACGGGCTGTGAGGAGGAACTGGAAAAGCCAAGCCTCCTTTCACCTCCCCCCCTGTCCAGGTCGGACCCATCTGGCAGCCCCGATCCCCCCTCTCCTTGTCTCCACACCTCGCACTAGCCGAAAAAAGCGGCGTCCCCCAGAAAAAAAGCTGCGGGTCTTGCACACAATGGTTCTCGTATGGGGCGCTGCAGGCGGACAACCGGCCCCTTGTTAACGAGACGGGATCCAAAGACCGCTTTTCCAGGGAAGAAAGCCGAGCTGCGCACAGCATTTCAATGTGTGTTCAGTCAAAAAAAGAAAAAAAATAAATATAAGGGGAATTATTATTTTTTTTTTTCTCTTCGAGGTCTTTGAACCAAGAGAGGTCTGTGCGCTCCCCCCGACCTCATACATGATGTGTTATACTGTAAACAATCCCGTTTAGGGCCGATACTAAAAGGCAGCAGAGTTTAATGGCACTATTCAAAAAGAGCGGTGGTTGCGGGATGCGATCGGAACCAGGCGGGGTTATCCCGCCGTGCTACCGGCGCTGGGCACGGCCACAAAACCGGGAGAGCGGTGCCCGGCCTTCACGACGGGCACCGGTGGACACGGCACTTTCGCCCCACGAGAAATGCGATTGCGGCATAAAGCAGTCACGCCAGAAACCCCCGCAAAAAAAACGTCCCCGCAAAACCGGCCCTGATCCGTCAGGCCCCGGCCCGGGCTCCCTTTCTGCATCGCCAACCTCTCCCGCTTCTTGCTCTGCGCCCGGAATTTACCCAGATTTATTATTAAGCGAGTTTTTATTACTTTCTAATACTGGTTTTATTACTTTCCAGTAACCAAAACGCTACCGAGGGACTGGGCTATCCCACAGCTAAATTTTGGGGCTGTTCCGGGAGCATTTTGCTCCTCTGCTTGCGGTTCTTCGTTTGCCGGGCGACCCGCTCCCTTCGCAGGTTTGTTTTTTTTTTTTTCCCGGGTGTAAGATATAGAAAACTTGGAAGGGAAGGGAGGGGGACGGGCGATGCCGCCCTGGGACACCCCCTGATCCAGCTGTACCTTTATTCCTCCCTCGGCGCAGCTTCTCGTCGCCCCACAGCCCATCCCGGTAATTTTCAGCAAAGGCGCGGAAACCTCTTAACGATCTCTCCCCCGCTCCCGCCTCGGCACTACCCGCTTTCCTGTCGTGGGGGTCACTTTTTATCGCGATATGGATACTACGGGTGATAAATTCATCTTCTCTCTCCATCACCCGGAGGAGATCCCGCTCCGAAGCCGCCATCCCGCGACCCCGGCGATGGGGGCTCCCCGCCCTCGAGGCCTTTCCCTGCCCCCGTCCCGTCCCCGTCCCCCCCCGCCCGCCCCCGGCGCGTCCCCGTCGGAGGGGGCACGGAGTCGCCCAGGGTCAAGCGAGCGGCATGTGGCATCCCCGGAGGAGGAGCCCGGGGGCTGAGCTTCCAGCCCTCCCCCGGGGAGCAGCGAGCCCACTCTCCATCCCCTTTCGGGGCTGGGGGCGTGAGGCCGGGACACCGGGCTCCGCACCCGCAGCGAAGCCCGAACGGGGCCGGGGGGAGCGGGACGCTGCGGGAGCCGCCCCCCTTCTCCCCCCCGCACCCCGCCGTCCCGGTCCTCTCCCGTAATCCCGCTTTTCAGGCTCCCGCAGGACAATGCGGGGGGGGCTGCTGCTCCTGTCCGCAGCGGTCGGATGGCGGGGATATCCCCGCAGCGGGGGGGGAGAGAGCGGAGCCCAACCCCCCGGCAGCGCTTCCCGAGGCTGCCCGAGGTGGGCGCAGCAACCGAGAGGTTCCGCGTCCAAGTGCGTTTCCCAAACCCGCCGCGGGCTCCGGTTTTGGGAAAGGCACCGCTGGAGGCGGCGGAGCCCGGTGGGAGAACCGGCTGCGGAGGGGACAGCGGGTCGCCCTCGGAGAGAGGGGAGAAGGGGCAGCACAGCAAATTTAGAGAGGGATTTGGCAGCTCAGCACAGCCTGGGGCGCAAAGAGGCTTCACCCCCTCCCCCGGGAATGAGCTGCCAGAGATGGGGGGAGACCCAGCTGCAGGGGAGACCCCTGCAAGGGGTGCTCAGATGCCTGCATCCAGCCTTTTGGGTTTTTTGGTTTTGTTTTTATTTTTTTTTCTTTCCGTGCATGGTTGCGGGGCGGCATTTAGTCGCATTTAGGCATAGGTACTCCCGATTTTGGGTTTCAAGTCAGCATGAGGAGGGCGGCCGCACAGCAACCAGACAAAGCCAGCCTGTGCCACACTTCAGCCGCGCTGGGGGAATAAGGGTTGCTGCTTTTGGAAAACAAAAAAACCCAAAAAACACAATAGCAATTAAACGCTCATCTGAATGTGTGACTGCTTGTTTGGCACAGACCGGCCGGAACCTGGAGGCTTTTCCCCTCGCCAGCACACACATTATTCCCCCCTTTTCCTCCATCCCTATCGGTGCGAGAGGCGTCCCGCACCGGGACGTCCCGCCTCGGGAAAGCTCTCCAGCGAACTGGGACGAGCCTCAGATTGTGGGTGCCCACAAGTGTCCCCCCCACCCCCCGGAAGGGGGACAAGTGTGGCCTCTTTTAAATTAATAGGACCGATCAATAGCTTCAGAGTCAAAAAATGCCCCCGTAGCAATCCTGACTCGAAGTTTTCTTCTTTACAGATGTCTTATTGCAGAACAGTCCGTTTGTTAAGATCCCCCTGTGCCCTGATAATCCTGCCCTGCCGCATTTACTTGCTCTGCGTTGATGTGGTTTTTCCTCTTGCCTTTCAGGATTAGAAAAATCTCTCCCTCTCCCTTACTCTCTTTTCCCTCTAAAGCCGGGTTTCAGAGGAATGTTGGCTAGACCTCCTCATCTGCTGCTTTCTTTCCCCTCTGATGGCAAATTCGGCGTCATTTGTGGACTTGCCCAATGCAAACATTGCATTAAGAAGTATTTCAAGGCATTTTATTATTGCTCTGCACTCCTTTGATGTGGTCTATAGGCACCAATTGTTGATGTCTCCCTGCGACTCCTCAGTGTCAGCATCTCGTTTCTGTCGCCCTTTGTCCTCCCCCCCCCCCCCCCCCCCTCTCCCTTTTTTAAACATATGTTTCCCCCCCCCCCCCCCCCCCCCCCCATTTCTCCTCTTTTAAAAATACGGGTTTTGAAGGGTCGCGACAGATCCCGCCACTTCACCCGTGGGTCACTGCCGTCCCCGTTTCCCAGGGGAGGGCCATCTCCAGCGGGACCGGGGGCCTTGTCCCCTCCCCTGGACATCACAGATTTCCCCGCCCGCAGCTCCCGCCCCGAGGCTGCGGTGAGAGGCAGCCCCGCTCCTGCCCGCCGGCCCACGGGTCTCCTCCCGCGTTCCCCGTGGGCACCTCGCCTTCCTGCTGGCGTGAGCTTCTCTTCCCGCACCTCTCCTCCCGCGGGGGAGGCAGCGAGCGGCCCGCACCGTGCGGAGATGCGGGGGGTGGGGGGGGGACACTGCGGCAGCGCCGGCCCCTTTGCTCCCGGGGCCGCAGCCTGCGGGGAGGTGTCTGCCCTCGGTCACCGGGGGGGGTTTCGCCATCGACCGGTGGCCGGACCCATCTCGGAGACGGGTCTTGGAGATGCCAGCGGACCCGCATGAGTCCAAGGCGGCCTCACACCGAAATTCGGCTCGCACGCGGCTCCTGCGGGTCTCCACCCGCACCGAGGGAGAAGAAAGGCGCATCCTCCGCGCATCCCGAGCGGGGCACCCCCCTTACCCCCCCAAAGCCGGCAGAAGCAGAGCCCGAGCCGAGGTCCCTCCAGCTCGGGGCTCTGGAAACGTCCCCCACGGGAGCTGTAGGGACAGCGAGCTGACCCCAGACGGCACTTTTTGGGACTGACAAGCAGCGAGCAAGAAAATCCGTTCTGCACGACCCACGCAGGGGACACGGCGCTGCGTGTTTTTCAGTGGGGGAGCGGTGGGGTGGATGTCTCTCCAGTCCGTGTGTCTCCCCCGACCCCCCTCGCATTTGATTTTCTTGGCACAATAAAATCCCCACCTCCGCACGGACGGGTCTCTCCCGGGAGAGGAGCCCTTAGGCAGGTGGCTGTGGCTCGGTCACGGAGTGGGGTGGCCCCAGGATTCCCCCCACACCGCCTGCTGCTCCCGTCCGGGTGACCCCCCCCTCCTGCAGTCACCAGGGGCCCGGCGGCGGCCGTGGCCGTGACCGTGGGGACCGGGATGCGGGTACAGGAGCCTTCTGGCAGGAGGGAGCAGACCAGAGATGGCTGCCCCCACCCCGGGGGGTGCAAGTTTTAGTAATAACACCCCCACGCCCCCCCCCCGAGCTGGGAGCGTGGGAAGAGACGCGGGGGTCGTGATTTCGTTTGGGGCGAACCATTTTTTGGGGAGCGCTCCAAGAGGGCTGGCAGAGCATAGGGGAAAGCAGAGGGTCCCCCCGCATCTCCCGCCTGCTCTGTCGAAGAGGGGCTGAAACCTTCTGCCCCACCGGGTCCTGGCCCTTGTCACGTCCCCAGCAGCTCTTTTAACCAGCTCCCCGTCTCCCCGAGGTGTGAGCGCCTCTCCCCGTGGCGTCGAGCCCCTCCGCCAGGCGCAGAGGGAAGGGAAGGTTCCCCTCGCACTCTCCGGCCAGCCCCATGTGCACTGGCAGAGATTTTTTCCCTTGTGAAAGAGTCGGGATATAAAAGTAGCCCCGAGCAGATGTTCCGGCAAAAGGGGGCTCGTTTGGAGAGAGAGAAAGCCCCTTCCTTTCCCCCCTCCGCCTCATTCCTTGCGCTCCCGGCGTTCGCTCCCGCCTCCCCGGGCCCTCCCCGATGACCTCATTCCCGGCATGTTTGCCATTACGGCTCCCAGTTACCCAACCAATTTAAAAAAAAAAAAAAAAAAAGAAAAAAAAAAGAAGAAAAAAAAATTTAAAAATATAAATTGCTGCTTCGCGAGATCAAAGTAACGATTTCTGGTGCATCTGGAAACCGGAGAGAAAAAAAAAAAAATTGGAGCAGCAACAGTTGCACAACTTCAAAGTGGTTTTTAACAATGATTTTTCTCCTTCTTCTCCTCCCCAATCTTTCAAGCATCAGATAAAGACAATGGGCTCCGTGGCTGTTTTCCAAAGAAATAACCTGCCTAAACGGCCGTACCGAATCTCAAGTAGACAGGAAACACCTTACACGGCTTTCTTCTTTCCATCAAATAGAAATAATACGCGACTCGTCTTTCTTACTAGCCCCAATCCCAGCGCTACTAAACGGCGTCTGCGGACCGTGTTATAACGTGTAGGGAAACGAGTTTCAGGCTCGGGGCTGCCACTAAGGCTTTATTCTTTTATAGAGGCTTCTAACGACCCAGCACATGCCCCGTATAACGC